AAGCGCAAAGAAGGAGAGGACGCCACACCTTCACATGAATTCTTGTTGCTTACGCACCAGGAGATTCCCAGCGGAGGAGCCCCACGGGTCGCCAGCGCGACTCTTGTGACCGGCGAGGCGGTTTTGCCGGCGCCTCGGAGCGTCGGTTCTCGGTGCAGAGTTGGAAAAGCACCCTCAATCTTAACGCCGCTGATTTAGTCGGTGCAGTGGGTTGCTCAGATTTCGGCACTGAGAATCAGTAAGTCGGACGTCCACTCAGAAACCCAATTACAAAGACGGTGATTATAAAGACTACAGATGGATGAATCTACAACGAAGGGAAGAAAACGGTCAAAAAAGGCTGAGAATACCCAAGATCAGAACGCCTCTTCCTCAGCAGGGGATCCCAATTCCTCATCAGCAACGAAACAAGGCTTGATGGAGAACGAGTGGGTTCCAATTACAGAAGCAGGCTTCAAAACGTGGATAATAAGAAACTTCTGTGAATTAAAAGAACTTGTTATAACACAATCTAAAGAAACTAAGAACTTTGAAAAAAGGTTTGACGAAATGTCAACAAGAATACAAAATTTAGAGAGGAAAATAAGTGAATTGATGGAGCTGAAAAACACAATACGAGAACTACGTGAAGTATGCACAAGTTTTAACAGCCGAATTGATCAAGCAGAAGAAAGGATATCAGAGGTCGAAGATCAACTCATTGAAATAAAACAAGAAGACAAGACGAGAGAAAAAAGGATAAAAAGGAACAAGCAAAGTCTCCAAGAAATATGGGACTATGTGAAAAGACCTAATCTACGTTTGATAGGTGTACCTGAATGTGACGAAGAGAATGAATCCAAGCTTGAAAATACGCTTCAGGACATTATTCAGGAGAATTTTCCCAGCCTAGTAAGGCAGGATAATATTCAACTCCAGGTAATACAGAGAACACCACAGAGATATTCCTTAAGAAGAGCAACTCCAAGGCACATAATCGTCAGATTCACCAGGGTTGAAATGAAGGAGAAAATACTAAGGGCAGCCAGAGAGAAAGGTCAGGTTACCCACAAAGGGAAGCCTATCAGACTCACAGCAGATCTCTCGGCGGAAACCCTACAAGCCAGAAGAGAGTGGGGGCCAATATTCAACATCCTTAAAGAAAAGAACTTTCAACCCAGAATATCACATCCAGCCAAGCTAAGCTTCACATGCGAAGGGAAAATAAAGTTTTTTGTGAATAAGCAAGCACTCAGAGATTTCATCACCACCAGGCCTGCTTTGCAAGAGCTTCTGAAAGAACCACTACACATATGAAAGGAACAAACAGTATCAGCCTTTCTAAAAAAATTATCAAAAAGAGCATCAATATAATGAAGAATTTATATCAACTAATGGACAAAATAGCCAGCTAATGACAGTATTAAACTCACATATATTATTATTAATTCCAAATTTAAATTGACTAAATCCCCCAATCCAAAGACAGGCAATTTGAATAAAAAACTAAAACCCATCAGTATGCAGCATTCAGATCCATCTCACATTCAAGGATACACAAAGACTCTAAACAAGGGATGGAGAAAGATTTACCAACCAAACAGAGAGCTAAAATAAATAAATAAAAAATAGAAGTTACAATTAAGCAACAAAGATCAAAAGAAGCAAAGAAGGACATTACATAATGATAAAAGGATCAATGCAACAACAAGAAGAGCTAAAGATCCTAAATATATACGCACCCAATACAGGAATACCTAGACATACAGGACTTATAAAGAGACTTAGACTCCCACATAATAATAGTGGGAGACTTCAACATTAATATTAGACAGATCAATGAGACAGAAAATTAACAACGATATTCAGGTCTTGAACTCAGATCTGGAACAAGTAAATGTAATTAACATTTATAGAACTCTCCACTTTAAATATACAAAATATACACTCTCATCAGTACCACATCATATCAATTTAGAGGTTTAAATGAAATCTTGGTTGGCTCCTTGTTTGTTATTCTCTTCCCTCATTTTCTTTCATGTCACCATTATTGAGGACAATTGTAGGCATACCTATATTTAGACTGCATTCTAGCCTGGGCAATAAAGCAATACCCCCATCCTCTCTCCCTCTTCCTCTTTCTCTTTCTTCCTCTTCTAAAAAAAAAAAAAAAAAAAAAATAACTGTAGAGACGCAGATTACTATGTTACCCAGACTAGTCTCAAACTCCTGAGCTCAAGTGATCCTCCCACTTTGGCCTCCCAAAGTGCTGGGATTACAGGCTTGAGCCACCGCGCCCGGCCTTTTTTTCCTTTTTAAAATGAAAAAAATTCCAAGACTGTGACAGCAGAACTTTGTTATTATTATTATTTTTGAGATGGGGTCTCACTCTGTCACCCAGGCTGGAGTGCCCTTGTGCCATGTTGGTTCACTGTGACTTTGCCCGTGGAGGGTGTCCAGGTTCTTGGCGTTTTGAACAAGGAATTGGACAAAACGCACAAAGCAAGAAAAGAATGAAGCAGAGATTTATTGAAAATGAAAGTACAGGCTGGCTGTGGTGGCTCATGTCTGTAAACCCAGCACTTTGGGAGGCCAAGCTTGGGTGGATCACAAGGTTAAGAGATCCAGATCATCCAAGCTAACATGGTGAAACCTCATTTCTACTAAAAATACAAAAATTAGTCAGGCATGGTAGCAGGCGCCTGTAGTCCCAGCTACTCAGGAGGCTGAGGCAGGAGAATCGCTTGAACCCGGTAGGTGGAGGTTGTAGTGAGCTGAGATTGTGCCACTGCACTCCAATTTGGGCAATGAGTGAAACTCCATCTCAGTCAAAAAAAAGAAAAAATGAAAGTACTTTCCATAGTGTAGCAGCTGGCTGAGCACAGGGGCTCAAAAGCCCCTTTACAGAATTTTAGGGGGTTTAAATACTCTATAGATGTTTCCCGTTGGTTACTTGGTGTACACCCTATGTAAATGAAGTAGTGGCCCGAAATCAGTCTGATTGGTTGTGCACAGCAATCAATCTGAAGTACTTTCTTTTTTTTTTTTTTTTTTTTTTTCTTTTTTTTTTGAGACGGAGTTTCGCTCTTGTTACCCAGGCTGGAGTGCAATGGCGCGATCTCGGCTCACCGCAACCTCCGCCTCCTGGGTTCAAGCAATTCTCCTGTCTCAGCCTCCTGAGTAGCTGGGATTACAGGCACGCGCCACCATGCCCAGCTAATTTTTTTGTATTTTTAGTAGAGACGGGGTTTCACCATGTTGACCGGGATGGTCTCGATCTCTTGACCTCATGATCCACCCGCCTCGGCCTCCCAAAGTGCTGGGATTACAGGCTTGAGCCACCGCGTGAAGTACTTTCAATTTCCGATCTGTGCCCCAGAACAGGGGACGGTTTGCAAAGACAGGAAGTAGCCTCTGGTCCTTTTGTTAGATAGGCATGGAAAGTTGTGTTTTAAAAAATTTCAATTTAGCCGGGCGCGGTGGCTCAAGCCTGTAATCCCAGCACTTTGGGAGGCCGAGGTGGGTGGATCACGAGGTCGAGAGATCGAGACCATCCTGGTCAACAAGGTGAAACCCCGTCTCTACTAAAAATACAAAAAATTAGCTGGGCATGGTGGTGTGTGCCTGTAATCCCAGCTACTCAGGAGGCTGAGGCAGGAGAATTGCTTGAACCCAGGAGGCGGAGGTTGCGGTGAGCCAAGATCGCGCCATTGCACTCCAGCCTGGGTAACAAGAGTGAAACTCCGTCTCAAAAAAAAAAAAAAAAAAAAAAAAGGCCGGGCGCAGTGGCTCAAGCCTGTAATCCCAGCACTTTGGGAGGCCGAGGTAGGTGGATCACGAGGTCGAGAGTTCGAGACCATCCTGGTCGACATGGTGAAACCCTGTCTCTACTAAAAATACAAAAAAAATCAGCTGGGCATGGTGGCGTGTGCCTGTAATGCCAGCTACTCAGGAGGCTGAGGCAGGAGAATTGCCTGAACCCAGGAGGCGGAGGTTGCGGTGAGCCGAGATTGCGCCATTGCACTCCAGCCTGGGTAAGGAGCGAAACTCCGTCTCAAAAAAAAAAAAAAAAAAAAAAAAAAAAAAAAATTTTAATTTAGTTCTAGGAAGTCAGAGTGAATCAGTCTTAGGTTCCCTGCTTCCAGACCCGATTCTCCTGCCTCACAAACTCCACCTGGGTTCAAGTGATCTTTCCACCTCAGCCTCCTAAGTAGCTGGAACCACAGGTGCACACCATCATGCCCAGCTAATTTTTTGTTTTGTTTGTTTGGTAGCGACAGAATTTCACCATGTTACCCAGGCTGGTCTTGAACTCTGAAGCTCAAGCAGTCCACCTGCCTAGTCCTCCCAAAGTGCTGGGATTACAGACATGAGCCACCGCGCCCGGGCCCATGTTTAAAAAAATTACAGCTTTCTTCTGTTCTGGTACATTTTTTAAAGTTTAGAAATTTTAATTACAAAAGACTAAACAAGGCCGGGCGCGGTGGCTCAAGCCTGTAATCCCAGCACTTTGGGAGGCCGAGGCGGGTGGATCACGAGGTCAACAGATCGAGACCATCCTGGTCAACATGGTGAAACCCCGTCTCTACTAAAAATACAAAAAAAATCAGCTGGGCATGGTGGCACGTGCCTGTAATCCCAGCTACTCAGGAGGCTGAGGCAGGAGAATTGCCTGAGCCCAGGAGGCGGAGGTTGCGGTGAGCCGAGATCGCGCCATTGCACTCCAGCCTGGGTAACGAGAGCAAAACTCTGTCTCAAAAAAACAAACAAACAAACAAAAGACTAAACAAAAATACCCTGCCTTTAGAGTGCACGTGTATATTTCTGGAAGTATTAGTCCTTGACACCTGCGTGTAAGTGAGGTCTGCAGGTTTTCTCTGTATCAGGAAGTACAGGAATCAGGGGAGGGTCACGTGATAATAAACATGGCTTCCTAAGCAGTTGCCTCAGGGGAGCAGGCATGGTAGACTGGGCTTGATAAATTTGCCTTTACAAGCAGGCAAACTGCTTTTATAGGCCAGGCTGACAGCAGTTTGCATTCAGACACACGCAGACACTGGGGGCACTGGTTCCATGGGAGCCATGGATAACGGACCTCCAACTCCATCCACCAGCTGGGACTCTGCCCCCAGCAGTGCCACACTCTGGGCAAAAATCCCTGTCAGCCAGGGACCCTGCTTCTCCGGAATTTGACCACAACTTCTCGGAGCCCAGCGTGGATCTAGCCCCACGAAGGTGAGATACAGAGGGATCTCAGGTGAGAACAACTCAGGTCCTGTTCCAGAGCTGGCCGTAAAGCAGTGATTAGAGCCCTGGACCCTTTAGGACCCCAAGGCCCCTGCCTCTTCCCTGGGCATGGCAGCCTCTTGACCTTTGCTCTTCTGCAGTTTATACCACTTTGGGCCCCAGAAGCTGCTGAAAAGGAAGCTGGGGCACGGCTCTGGAGTGCTGCTCACTGGCTGGTAGTGAGGAGCCGGGAGACTGGCGTTCCCAGCACAAAAGGCTTACTGATCTTTGCCCTTGCCCCTCCCTGGGAGCCTTGGCCCTCCTCCTGCCTTTCTTTCTTCCCTGCTGGCCTCTCCTGTACTCTGTCTCCTCACTTCCCTCTGTGGCCCTGCTCTGAACCAGCGGTTTTTCACAGCTCCTTGCCCAGGCCAATCCTTCCATGCTGTCTTCAAGCCCTGCTTCCTGCACATCTCCCAGTCCGGACGGGGAGAACCCATGTAAGAAGGTCCATTGGACTTCTGGGAGGAGGAGAACATCATCCACAGACTCGGAGTCCAAGTCCCACCCGGACCCCTCCAAGCTACCCAGGTCCCGGAGACCCAGCCGCCTGACGGTGAAGTATGACCGGGGCCAGCTCCAGCGCTGGCTGGAGATGGAGCAATGGGTAGATGCTCAGGTGCAGGAGCTCTTCCAGGTGGGTAGAACAGGAGAGAGCGGGAGGAGATGGGGGCCTGGGGCTGAGAACTTCACAGGAGCTGGAGGGCTGATGTGAGGTGCTTCCGTGAACCGAAAGTGTAACTGATGAAAGGAAAAAGCATCGGTCTGAAGTCCAGAAGTCTGCCTCCCTCTAGGCTTGGCTGTGCCTCTAACAGTCTTCGTTATCTGGGGAAGGTCTTTTAACATCCCTTATCTATAAAATAGGACTGTTAGTGCCTGTTATGTCTCCTTTATAGGACTTTGTGAGGCTCAAATGAGATAGTAGAAGGGAAAATGCTTGGTTAGAATATTTTTCAACTTTTATATCTCTGTTTAGTCCTATCCTCAACACACAAACATGTCTAGAGCTACATTTTCTTTTCTTTTGTGTTCTTTTTCTTGCATTCTTCTTTTGAGACAAAGTCTTGCTCTGTTGCACAGGCTGCAATGCAGTAATGCAGTCTCAGCTCACTGCAACCCCCTCCTGCCAGGTTCAAGTCATCCTCCCACCTCAGCCTCCTGAGTAGCTGGGATTCCGGCTGCGTGCCACCACACCTGGCAGATTTTTTTTTTTTTTTTTTTTTGTATTTTCTTGTAGAGATGGGTTTTTGCCATGTTGTCCAGTCTGGTCTTGAACTCCTGGGCTCAAACAGTCTGCCTGCCTCGGCCTCTCATAGTGCTGGTATTACAGGCGTGAGCCACCCTGCCTGGCCTAGAGCTACGTTTTCCAATACTGTAGCGATCAGCCATGTGTAGCTGTTTGAGTTTAAATGAATTATAATTTAATAAAATTATTCAGTTCCCCAGTCACATGGGCCACATTGCAAGTGTTAAATAGCCCCATGTGGCTAGTGACTACTGTGCTGTTAGCACGAATATGAAACATTTTCACTATTTCAGAATGGACTGCATGGGACTAGAATGTCAAGAGTAACCAGAGTTGAATGCCAATACCAGGACAAAAGCAATCCTTGACCCTGGCTCTGATTGACACCCCTCAATGCCACTCTGAGAAAAGGACAGGAAATGGCACTTTCTTATATACCTTCAAACCTGGATTCTAGAGAGGTAACAACTGCTGCTCCAGCAATAAGAATAACATTTTGGCGCCGGGCGCGGTGGCTCAAGCCTGTAATCCCAGCACTTTGGGAGGCTGAGGTGGGTGGATCACGAGGTCAAGAGATCGAGACCATCCTGGTCAACATGGTGAAACCCCGTCTCGACTAAAAATACTAAAAATTAGCTGGGCATGGTGGCACGTGCCTGTAATCCCAGCCACTCAGGAGGCTGAGGCAGGAGAATTGCCTGGACCCAGGAGGCGGAGGTTGCGGTGAGCCGAGATCGTGCCATTGCACTCCAGCCTGGGTAACAAGAGCGAAACTCCGTCTCAAAAAAAAAAAAAAAAAAGAATAACATTTTGAACACTTAAATATTGGCTAGCCACAGTGCCAGGTGCCGAAAATAACACGCATTCTTTCATTTAATCCTCCCCACAACTCCATTAAGCAGGTACTGCTTTTTTTTTTTTTTTTTTTTTTTTTTTTTTTTCCCTCCAGTCTTGCTCCGTTGCCAGGCGCCAGGCTGGAGTGCAGTAGCTTGATCTGGCCTCACTGCAGCCTCCGCCTCCCAGGTTCAAGCAATTCTCCTGCCTTAGCCTCTCAAGTATCTGGGACTACCATGCCCAGCTAATTTTTGTATTTTTAGTAGAGACGGGGTTTCACCATGTTGGCCAGGATGATCTCGATCTCTTGACCTTGTGACCCACCCACCTCAGCCTCCCAAAGTGCTGGGATTACAGGTGTGAGCCACCGTGCCTGGCCCTTTTTTTTTTTTTTTTTTTTTTGAGATGGGGTTTCGCTCTTGTTACCCAGGCTGGAGTGCAATGGTGCGATCTCGGCTCACCGCAACCTCCGCCTCCTGGGTTCAGGCAATTCTCCTGCCTCAGCCTCCTGAGTAGCTGGGATTACAGGCACTTACCACCATGCCCACCTAATTTTTTGTATTTTAGGTAGAGACGGGGTTTCACCATGTTGACCAGGATGGTCTTGATCTCTTGACCTCATGATCCACCCGCCTCGGCCTCCCAAAGTGCTGGGATTACAGGATTACAGGCTTGAGCCACCGCGCCCGGCCTTTTTTTTTTTTTTTTTTTTTTTTTTTTTTTTTTTTTTTTAAGAGATGGAGAGCCGGGCGCGGTGGCTCAAGCCTGTAATCCCAGCACTTTGGGAGGCTGAGGCGGGTGGATCACGAGGTCAAGAGATCGAGACCATCCTGGTCAACATGGTGAAACCCCGTCTCTACTAAAGATACAAAAAATTAGCTGGGCATGGTGGCACGTGCCTGTAATCCCAGCTACTCAGGAGGCTGAGGCAGGAGAATTGCCTGAGCCCAGGAGGCGGAGGTTGCGGTGAGCCGAGATCGCGCCATTGCACTCCAGCCTGGGTAACAAGAGCGAAACTCCGTCTCAAAAAAAAAAAAAAAAAAAAAAAAGAGATGGAGTCTCTCTCTGTTGCCCAGATTGGTCTTGAACTCCTGGGCTCTAACCATCCTCCAACTTTGCCCTCCCAAAGTGCTGGGATTATACGTGTGAGCCACCATGCCTGGCCAGCAGATACTGTTTTACAGCCGAGGGAATGGAGGTTTACTGATGTTGAATAACTTGCCCAAGGTCACACCAGTAGTCCTGCACTGTCCATGCTGAAGCCATGGGACCTGGCTTCAAGCTGTGGAGCCTGGCCAGTTATTTGAGCAACCAATGGTTCTCCACACCTGAAAATACTTAAGAAAAAAACCAGATGCCCCAGCTCCTCAACTGAATTTAAATCTACAGTGGAGTCCAGATACTGAGCCTTTTTTATAAGCTCCACAGGTGGTTCTAATGTGTGGCTGGGCTGAGAACCATACACCAAGCTAGCCAATATCTCAAAGTATGTGTCCTTGTTTCTCCTCCTTGTTGACTCGGATCCTTCCTTTTTGGGGCAGCAGGGCCCTGTGGGTAAGGGTTATCAGCAGTCTTAGTGTAGCAGGAGCGGCCGCTGGAAAGGATCTCTCAGACACCAAATACAGGAGGAAGGAATTTATTTCAGCTGGGAGCCAGGTGGCATACATAGGTGCCTAACAGCCAACCTCGTCTAACAAAGGGAGGTTCAGCCTTTTATATGGGCTTATACTTTAGATGTTACACGTGGAAGAATCTTAGGTTCGTAGTTTTAGGACTCACATGTGAAAAGGTTTTTAGTTTGATCTTGTTTTAAGTAAAAATAGTGCCTTCTGGAGAGTTTCCCCAAGGCCTAGCCTGTTGTTTTCAGGAAGGAGATTCAGGAGGCCCTAGCTGGCCTGCTCTCTCTTTTATTGAGATGCACAGTGGATGACAGAGGGGGAGGGAATCCCAAATGCCTGGGTCTCCATCCTCACTAGGGTTGGAGGTGGGGAAGAATGATTGATGTGGCCCAGTCTATCTTGAAACTAACTGGGTAGTGTGTCAGTTTGGTCAAGGTGTTGACCATGTCCCTTGCAGCATCCCAAGCCCACTCATAGAGGGTGGGGAGATGCCTTGGAGCTGGGAGGCAAACTGTCTTGGCCTGTATCTGCTGGACACATCCACTGCCCCTCACTAGTTCCAGCACCCTCTACTGGATCAGTTTCAATTTCAGACTGTTGTGCACTTGCATAAAGTCTCCAATTTCAGACACTCCAGGGCAAATCCTTCCAGGCATCAGGGAAAGACTGATGGTAGCTAAAGAACTTTGTTTTGCAAGATGAAAGTGGAGGGCTGGAGGTCATACAGTAATAAACTTGAAACACAGAAAACAAGACATGTGGGAGGACCGCTCCCAGGCAATGAGTGAAATAAAATGCCTGGCCCATGGTTGCCATGGCAATTGTCCAAAGGTGCCAGGTGGTGGTTTCTCTCCCAATCCCTGCTCTTCTCAGCAGGAAGCAGTTAAGTGGCTGGGGAAGCCCCAGTTGGTTGGTCATCTTGGGTAGAGGTCAAGGCAGCACAATCTCCAGCCTTACACTGCTCCATTCCAGTTCTATGCAGAGCCCCTGCCCACCCAGCAGGGCTCTACCTCAAACACCCACCTTGGACAGCAGCAGTGGAAAAGCATCTCAGAATGCAGCACTTGTTTAGTATCATGAGAACAAACCTTCCTTTGTTGGAGGGCTCCACCTCTTCTTCCTGGATGTGCAGCCCAGTGCGGGGTTAAGTCTGGGGATGCAAACAGACTTGGGGTCCTGGAGCTCCTGTTGCCTGGAGGCAGAGCATGGATTTGCCTTCTAAGTAGGGACTTAAACATGCATGGGTTTCTCCTATTTTATGAAGACCCTTGCCCAACATGCACCCCTTTAGTTACCATCCCCTCTATTTCTTCTTCTTTTTTTTTTTTCTTTCTCGAGACAGAGTCTCACTCTGTTGCACAGGCTGGAGTGCTGTGGCTCGATCTTGGCTCACTGCAACCTCCATGTCCCAGGTTCAGCAATTCTCCTGACTCAGCCTCCCAAGTAGCTTGGACTATAGGCGTGCACCACCACGCCTGGCATATATATACATATATATATTGTATTTTTAGTAGAGATGGGATTTGTTACCATGTTGGCCAGGATGGTGTCTTGATCTCTTTTTTTTTTTTTTTTGAGGCGGAGTTTCGCTGTTGTTACCCAGGCTGGAGTGCAATGGCGCGATCTCGGCTCACCGCAACCTCCGCCTCCTGGGTTCAGGCAGTTCTCCTGCCTCAGCCTCCTGAGTAGCTGAGATTACAGGCACACGCCACCATGCCCAACTAATTTTTTGTGTTTTTAGTAGAGGCAGGGTTTCACCATGTTGACCAGGATGGTCTCGATCTCTTGACCTCGTGATCCACCCACCTCGGCCTCTTAAAGTGCTGGGATTATAGGCGTGAGCCGCCGCGCCCAGCCAGTCTCTATCACTTGACCTTGTGATCCACCTGCCTCAGCCTCCCAAAGTGCTGGGATTACAGGTGTGAACCACTGCGCCTG